CAGGAAACCCTACACCATTTCGGACAAATGGCTGTCCAGTCTCTTCTTAAAAACTTCCAGTGTTGGAGCATTTACTGCTTCTGGAGGCAAGCTGTTCCACTGATTAATTGTTCTCACTGTCAGGAAGTTTCTCCTTAGTTCTAGGTTGCTTCTCTCCTTGATTAGTTTCCACCCGTTGCTTCTTGTCCTGCCTTCAGGTGCTTTGGAAAATAGCTTAATTCCCTCTTCTTTATGGCAGCCCCTGAGATATTGGAATACTGCTATCATGTCCCCCCTTGTCCTTCTCTTCGTTAAACTAGACATACCCAATTCTCGCAACCGTTCCTTATATGTTTTAGCCTCCAGTCCCCTAATCATCTTTGTTGCTCTTCTCTGTACTCTTTCTAGAGTCTCAACATCTTTTTTACATCGTGGTGACCAAAACTGGATGCAGTATTCCAAGTGTGGCCTTACCAAGGCATTGAAGAGTGGTATTAATACTTCACGTGATCTTGATTCTATCCCTCTGTTAATGCAGCCTAGCACTGTGTTGGCCTTTTTGGCAGCTGCAGCACACTGCTGGCTCATATTTAGGTGATTGTCTACTAGGACTCCGAGGTCCCTCTCACAGTTACTACTATTGAGCATGGTGCCACCTATGCTGTACTTGTGCATTTGGTTTTTCTTGCCTAAATGTAGAACCTTGCTTTTTTCACCATTGAATTTCATTTTGTTAGTTAGTGCCCAGTGTTCAAGTCTGTCCAGATCCTTCTGTATCTGAAGCCTGTCTTCTGGAGTGTTGGCTATTCCTGCCAGCTTGGTGTCGTCTGCAAATTTGATGAGTTCCCATCTATCCCTTCATCCAAATCGTTGATGAAGATGTTGAAGAGTACTGGGCCCAGAACAGAGCCCTGGGGCACACCACTACACACTTCCCTCCATATAGATGCAGTTCCATTGAGGACCACTCGCTGAGTACGGCCGTCAGCCAGCTACGGATCCATCTGGTGGTGGTTCTGTCTACCCCACATTTTTCTATCTTGTCAAGTAGTAGGTTGTGATCTACTTTATCAAATGCCTTACTGAAGTCCAAGTAAATTATGTCCACAGCATTCCTCTGATCCACTAATTTTGTCACTTGGTCAAAGAATGCAATAAGATTTGTCTGGCATGATCTATTTTTGACAAACCCATGTTGGCTTTTAGTAATGACTTTGTTTGCCTCTAGGTGTTCGTTGATTCGTTGTTTGATTATCTTTTCCAGGATCTTCCCAGGTATTGAGGTCAGGCTGATAGGTCTGTAATTTCCTGGATCCATTTTTTTTCCTTTTTTGAGGATGGGAACTACATCAGCTCTTTTCCAGTCCTCTGGTAGTTCCCTGTGTTCCAGGATCTTTGAAAAATATAGTTCAGTGGCTCCGATATCACATCTGCCAGTTCCTTGAGAACTCTGGGGTGTAATCCATCTGGTCCTGGCGATTTGAACTCATCTAGGCTGGACAGGTGCTCACTAACGATTTTCTGCCTATCTTAACTTGTGTTTCTGTTTTGTTTTTTGTGGCACTATTTTTGATAGGTTGGTCTGTTTTTTCCCTTGTGTAAAGACAGATGCAAAAAATGAGTTAAATAGTTCTGCTTTCTCCTGTTGCTTGTCACCTTCTTGCCACTTCCACCCACTAATGGACCAATCATTTCCTTCACTTTTTTCTTGTTTTTTACATGTTGAAAGAAGCTTTTTTTGTTATTTTTGACTTTGGTCGCAAGCCTTAGTTCATTTTGAGCCTTGGCTTTCTTCACTTCATCTTTGCAGGCTCGGGCTATTTGCTGATATTCTGACTTAGTTATGTTCCCCTCTTTCCACTTTCTGTACTTGTCCTTTTTATCTTTCAATTTGTCAGAGAGTTCTTTATGCAGCCATGCTGGTTTCTTTTGAGAGCTGTTATTTTTCCTCTTTGTTGGTATTGTGCTAGACTGTGCTTTTATTATCTCATTTTTCAAAATTTCCCAAGCTTCTTGAGTTGTTTTCCCCTTGAGGATTCTCATCCATGGAATCCTTCCCAAGCCCTCTCTAAGTTTATTGAAATTAGCTCTCTTGAAGTCCAAGACTCTAGTTTGACTGTGTTCTATTGGTTGTGCTTCTATAATGTTGAATTCTAATATTGCATGATCACTTCCTCCCAGGGTTCCTATGGCTCCAACACCGTCTATCATTTCATCTCTGTTAGTGAGAATTAGATCCAAAATGGCTAATCCCCTAGTTCCATTCTCTACTTTTTGGGAGACAAAGTTGTCTGCTAGGTTTGCCAGGAACCTGTTTGATCTTCCACTTGGTGCGGAGTTTGTCTCCCAGTTGATGTCAGGGTAGTTAAAGTCCCCCATTACTATTGTGATGTGCTTCCTACATACCTTAGTTAGCTGACTAGCAAAAAGTTCATCTATTTCCTCTGTTTGGTTGGGTGGTCTGTAGTATTACACCTATGGCAATGTCATTCCCCCCCCCTTTTATATTGACCCAAATGCATTCAAGACAGTTTTTATCATTGTTGTACTCTATTTCTGTGAAGATGTAGTTATTTCTTATATAGAGAGCAACTCCACCTCCTCTTTTATTTGGTCTGTTTCTTTTAAATAATTTAAATCCCTCTAGCTGTGTGTTCCATGTGTGAGTTTCATCCCACCATGTTTCCGTAATGGCAACAATATCGTATCTGCCCTCATTAACCTGAATTTCTAGTTCACCCTGTTTGCTGTTCATACTCTGTGCATTTGTGTATAAACATTTGAGTCCTTTGTGGGTGGCCCTGTGTTTCCTTTCTACATAACCTGTGTGGTGCCTGAGTTCCCCTATTGTCTTACCACCTATTTGGTTAGTGCACTTTATATGGCACTCGCTATTAGAGGCTTCATTTTGATTGGTAGCAAGGTTGTTATTCTTGTCCACACACACATCTGTGCTACATGCACTGATAGCCCTATAGTTTTTAAATTGCCGGGGACAGGGTTGTTCCGTATCAATTAACTCCCTGTCCCCGCTGTTTAGTTTAAATTTCCCTCCAGAAAATCTGTGAATTTATAGCCGAGTAACTCAGTCCCTTTTTTTGATGGATGCACACCATCTCTTTTGTACATCTTTTGATTGGACCAGCTACTGACATCGTGACTAATATATCCAAAGCCTTCCCCTTTACACCATTCCTTTAGCCACATATTGAATTGTGCTATGCGCTGGCGTTTTCCGTTTTGCTCCTTATACACTGGTAAAACCTCTGAGAAAGTAAGCCTACATCCTATTCTGCTAAGTTCCTTCCCCAAGCTCTGGAAATCATTCTGCACAGAGAGTACATCTTTTTGGGACAGATCATTAGTGCCAAGGTGTACAATAGCCTCCACATCACAGTCCTTGCTGCCATTCTTGATTATTTTAGAAATACGCTTCTTGTCCCTACTGGCAGTAGCACCTGGAAGACACCTGACCTCTTTCAAAGCCTCTGTGTCCTTTCCTAAATTTACATCCCTTATAATTGAATCACCTACCAGAAGGTAGCTTCTCTTTTGGGGAGCCTTTCTATTCTTGCATGACTGATGTGCAATACCTGATTCACACTTCTCCCTGTCAAAATCTAGTTCTTCATCTCGGACCACAATCCCCTGCTTATTTGAGTTATCTTCACAAATACCTTTACCAGTCTCCTTAATGTCCCTATTAAGGTCAGCAAGAGCACTGTAGCTGTTGTGCAGGGACACAGCGAAAGCTTTGTGTTTATGGTTCACAGCTCTCACCCTGAAAGGAAATAAATCAGTAAACAAATAAATGTCCTAGGAGAAGTCTAGAGTTTTGTTTTTTTAATGTATAAATTTTATTAACAGCTTTAAGAGGAACATTAAAACTAACACAAGCTAGCCAAGCCATAAGAAATGGTGATACTTCAGAGGGAACAGACTTTGGAGTTTGGTAGGCTCTCAATTTTTCCTTGTTCGGAAAGTCGGATATTACACATGGTAAGAAGAAAAAGAAGTTTTCCTTTTACAAAAACAAAAGAAGATTCAACATCCACTTGACGTTCCTGCGCACGGCTCAAAGCACACCCCTCTCCTTCTACTACCATATCCTGGTTCAGCACATACTCCTGTTCCACATCCTCCAGAAGATGTCATGCAAGGTTCTGTGCATACACTTCTCCCAGTAGGACGGCACCCTGGTTCAGCACACACTCCTCTTCCACTACCATGCCTTCCAGATGTTATGCAAGGTTCTGCGCATACACCTCTCCCGGCAGGTCTGCACCCTGGTTCAGCACACACTCCTCCGGATGTAGCATATGGTTGAGCACAAGCCACGGTCCCTCCTCCAGATCCACAATATGACCCACAATCTGAGCAAGCATGAGAATAGTGTCCCCCAGTACACCCATCGCAGGCATCTCCAATTGGGCGCCCCCAATAATCTCGGGGTCCTCCTGAAGGGTTGTGAACACAACATCTAACTCTTGGGTTTCCTCCTGGTGTACAAGTGGATGGGCGGTAGCAGTAGCACCGGTAATTGTGGCCCCCTCTTCGGGGTACATTGCTCCTGGGACTGCAACACGTCACACAGGCAGTGTTATCAACGTAACGGAAGGGTTTACGACGAGTATCTAACCAGGATCCTGCTGGGTCGTACCATGTTGAGTTCAGGTTGAAGTAGGGTTCTCGTCCAGAAGAATAGATTCTTTCTTCTGCCATGGTGGGTGGAACTGAAAGTGTAGGAGCAAAATACATTGAAATCAGAATGACCCCCCCCCCAAATAGAATTCCTTGACCTGAAACTTCTGAATGTGGTTTTCAAATGGAAAATTACTACGGAACAAATTTAAATTATAATAGGCTAGGTGGGTCCATCTGACTGAGGAGAAAAGAATTGATATAATAAGACCTCAGAGAGTTATTAAATGCTCCAATATTCCAGAATAATACTGAAATACTTGGAGAACTATTTAGTGACCCATTATCATAATGTGCATGTTTGTATACACACTTTTAACTCACACATTCACATAAACCTTCAGCTGAACTTGAATAAAACATGTAATTTTTAATCCCTTTAAAATATTGTAGGGCACTGGGCACTTAACTTCGTATTTGGTACACGCACTAGTTTGCTTGTTGTTCCATCTCTGACTTTCAACCTGTCCAGGAACGATCTTTCTTATAAATTATATCACCCTTCTTTTGTAGTTGAACTCAATGGGCTGGGTCTTCCTATTCTCCCAAGCAAGAGAAAACAAAATTGTTCTCTCATCTGTCATAACCTTCAGAAAGTTGAAGGGCTTCCATATTTTTTTTCTTGTTCCATGGGTTTTCTCCCTGACACTGTTTCTGGACATCTATCAACTCTGAGAAGGCAATTGGGTGCCTTCCAAATATTTTGGACTACAGTTCTCCATAAGTTCCACTAAGTGTGGGTAATTATAAGGAATCATGTGTGTTGTTCCCAAAATATCCAGGAGAACATCTAACCCTCTAGACAATCTACTTTGATAAACAGATAAAAGATGTAGAGACAGACTTACCTTATCAATGAAGGAAACCAGTGAGCTAAGCAAATGTTAATGAATGAAGTATCTAAGAAACAGAAGTTCTTATATATGGTTTCAATACTCATATATAGATGATATAATATCTTGGGAATGGTAGGTAGGTCCAAAACCATGGACCTCAGAGACTTTAACACCTGATCCATTACTTAGCTATGGTTCAATGGTTGGAGATACTGTATATGCAATTAGCAGTCACAACTGGATCAGTGATGTAGATGACAAAGCATTTTCCCGCTCAGAAGATAGATGACAGAATTCCAATGGGTCTACAAACGGAAGATGATTGGATGACAGCTCAGAGGAATCAAGGAAGAAGCCATGATCAATCAATGTCCCCATTGGGATCAATTGCATCAGTTGCACGCCAGACTCTTATGCAAAATAATTTATGGTACCCCGTGCACGATGACAAGAATGTTATTAACTGCAATTGTAGAGAATGATAATGGTCATCTAAATATGTGGAGTCTATTGTTGTGTGGGTTGTTCAAAAACAAGCCAGTCTACAACATGAGCTAGCCTACAAAAAACAAAGTCTGCCAATGTAACCCAGCAAAGGAACCTCAGTTGTGATAGCTGGGTACCAAATATCTCTTGTAGCTATTTTGGTACCCCGATGCAAGATGTGGATGTGAATTTAGGCAGACTCATGGAGACAGTGGAGGACAGGGAGGGCTGGTGTATTGTGGTCCATGGGTTTGCAAAGAATAGGACACAACTTAGTGACTGAACAACAATTATGTAAGATGTAATAACGGGCCAAAGTAGCATTTTGCTGCATTATAAATGATACTCGTCTTGAAATATCTGGAACTAAACTCAAGATTTATCTTGCTGTCCACTGGCTAAAATTCTGGTGGACTACCACACAGGGTTCCTAAGTTGACTCCTGGACAATAAAGGATGATTTGTCTTCTGCTGGCTGGTAAATCACTTGAAGGAGGACATGCCAAGCACGTGGCAATGCTGAGCAATCAATAAATTATCAGCTGCACAAGATGTATGCCTCATACGTTACTGACTGGGTAATGATTGGCTAGAATATTCTCAAGAAATGATGGCATCTTCTAGAAATGAAGTGTGCACTCTATTGCATGCCTATGACTGGCTAGTCTTAAAAGGCAGAGAGTTCCCATGCTTTAGTGTGTTGTCACAATGACATCAGATTCATCCACACAAAGTCCCTTTGGCATGTCACATTTCCCCTTAGAAATGGGACCTTTCTCCTCTGCTTCCAAAGTTCCCAAGCAAAGCCAGAATGATGCCATCAACCCATAGGAAGGAGTAAATGGAAGGGTTAGGAGGAATCTCAAGATGATCAGGTTGGAGAAAAAAGAAATTTTAGGAGGTCACCACACCACAGAAATGCAAAATGAGGATTTATTTAGTGTCAAATACAATGGTCTGGTCTTCTTTCTGGATTGGATGTTGCCGGATGGAAGTAGATTGCAGAACTGGGGGTTTCGCAGTAGGCTTGTGAGCTGAGTGGTTGAGGGATTTTTTTTTCATCAAGTTGGTTGCCCATAATGTAGCCTTGATGGACATGTTAGTTGATCCTTATTTCTTAATCATTTTTGGATGTAACTAATTTACAGCTAAAGAGAAGCTATAAACAACCAGCAGAGTGACATGTTTTATAGTTCTGAGGGAATTTCCTTCATTTCTTAACAAAATAAGTTCTAAATACAAGTTTAAAGATTTTTTTTAAAAAAGCTAAAGACTAATTGGAATGTGGATATTGGAAAGTTACAAATAGATTAAGGATCCAGATGGGTTTGAAATAAGATTTTGAAACTAATTGTGAGAATCCTTTCCTGTGGAAAAATGCTCTTGAATTCTTTAAAAAAACATGATAGGATGAGGCTTCCACTGTTGGACACTAGAGGGAGCCAGAAGAAGCTAAAAATTATAACAATAGGAGAAGAACATTTAAATTTGATTAATACAGAATTGTGCTGGACCAGCACAAGAATGAACCTCTTATTTCATATACACATGCATGCCATGACACACATAAAAAAGGGATGATAGCACAATGGCACAATACTTATTTTGTCTCTTGTTCTTTCTCCCTCGCCCTGCAAATTTATCTGGATTGTCAGGTTCACAGTTATCTTTGTTCTATCTTCTGTCTAAATCTCATGAGGACATGCCTAGAAAACTTCAGACAATTGTTAGGTCAGGAAAAATAGATGCCTTTTGGAAAAAAAAAGAAGAAAAGGGGGAAAAAAAGAAAAAAGGAAGAATTCTGGGAGTGATGAATGCTTTAATAAGTTTTATAGTGTTACATACATATTTTTTACATGCAAATTTGATAAATAGTCAAAATGTCCAGGATAAGTAATTACAAGCATATCAGGTAGTAAATAAATAGCAAGACAACATTTGGAGTGAGATTGTGATGTTCATATTCAGCACAACTCGGCAGCTATTTCTTCAGAAGATGGGGAGGTGCTTTGTAAACTTTTTTGACCTGGCAGATCTCAGGTTGTGGTGGACAGCATGATTGGGGTGGTGGACAATATTTTTGCTGAGATGGATAGCACGGTTGGGCTGGTGGACAGTAGGAGTGGGCAGGTGGACAATATTTTTGTTGAGGTGGATAGCACGGTTGGGCTGGTGGACAGTAGGACTGGGCTGGTGGACAATATTTTTGTTGAGGTGGATAGCACGGTTGGGCTGGTGGACAGTAGGACTGGGCTGGTGGACAATATTTTTGTTGAGGTGGATAGCACGGTTGGGCTGGTGGACAGTAGGACTGGGCTGGTGGACAATATTTTTGTTGAGGTGGATAGCACGGTTGGGCTGGTGGACAGTAGGACTGAGCTGGTGGACAATATTTTTGCTGAGGTGGATAGCATGGTTTGGCTGGTGGACAATATTTTTGCTGAGGTGGACAGCACCGCTGGACGGGCCGACAGTACTTCTGTACTGGAGGACGACAACATACAGGTGGACGGCACTTCTGCACTGGAGGACACCATTGGGCAGGTGGAAGACGCTTCTGTCCAGGAGGACAACAGGATTTGACAGGAGGACAGTACTTTTGTACTGGAGAACAACACTGTTGGATAGGGGGACAGTATTTTTGTCTTGGAGGACAATATCTCTGCACAGGAGGACAGCATGACAGTGGAGGTGCATCACAATATCCCATTTCCGAACTCCATCTCACTGAGTAGCTAGATGGTTCACAACTTACAGATCTCGTATAATTATTGTATGAATCTTCTCCACCACCACATTCTGTAGTATACATTTCTTGAGACCTTGGATTAGACCTGTGAAAAAGACATATGCTAGGAACACAAGGATGAAACTATTTTAGATTAAAAAACACAATTGATGAATTAAATTGGTGACTGACTAGAACTTTTTTTTTTGTAATCCTTTTCTAGAGCATTTCCTGTGAAGAACGTGTCTCAACATTACTTGGGAGTTAGTTAAGAGGCACTAAAATTATGACTTGGTGATACAACACATTAAGGCTTATTGTGCTTTGTTTGGCTGAAGCTTATTCAGCTATAATGTCTTGTAAATTGTGGCATGTAGACCAGTATGTTGTGATTTTAGTCAGATGTGATTTATTCACAGAATCGTGGATGAACAAATCATAGCTTAGCCCAATGTGTGAAGGTCCTGGCTGTGGACCAAAATAGTTTGCTTCAGGATTCACTCCTTCTGGTTCATTTTCTACCTTACTTTAATCCTAGACATTACCTAACCCCCACAGGATCTGTCCAGATTGCCAGACACCCCACAACAATCAATAGGAGCCATTGGGGGATCAAAAGGAATGGCAACTTCAGCAAATCTTAACCACACAGATGCTGCAATATAGTACTGATATTTTTGACTCATAAATAAATTACAAAAATGAGGAAGGAAGGAAGGAAGGAAGGAAGGAAGGAAGGAAGGAAGGAAGGAAGGAAGGAAGGAGGGAAGGAAGGAAGGACAATGATAGGGTAGCAACATCGATCACATTTATTCCTACTTGTTCCCCTTAATATGTTTTAGCCAATCCTGGAGGTTTTCTGAATTTATCTGCCATTTTCACTACTCACAAAACTATGTAGTGATCAAGGATATTGTAGGAGATAAAATAGCTTCTGATCTGCCTATCATTCCTAGGTTAGCCTCCTAAGAACTATGACAAATCAAGAGTTGGCCCAGATGGATGGACCTTGCTACCGATCTCTTAATCAGAAGTCCTATCTTCTGAAATTTTTCCTTCTCAGCACAACCTGGTCTCATTGAAAAGTTGAAAGCCAATTGCAGCCATCAGGATGACTGCTTTATACATCCATCGAGGTAATTTACAACTTGTATGTTCCAATAAAGAGAAGGACACTTAATCATTGGTAATAAATTTTAAAAAAACAACCTTGGGTTTCCAAGATATATTACTTACCGAGTGATCCTCCTCTTCTAATTCTTCAGTAGTTAAAGAAAGCAAGGAACAATGACAAGATGGTTTTATAATAGTTGGAAAGATCCCTTGTGACTGGCTGGCTCTCTTCTTGCTAAAAGAAGGAAAAAATATCCCATCACCCAACTGTTAGTGGTTGTCTCGATTTGTCATTTTAAATGTTTTCTCGTGCCTTGGCAGACCAAATGCTTTGCATATCCAAAGAGGTGACTAAGCTTACCAACCATCTGCTCTCTGGATTCCAATGGAAAAAAAGCCAAGATAAATGATGTAAGAGAATAGCCTGAAGCTACCGAAGGCTGCCTGCAGCTGAGTTATAATTAGGCGTACAACAAAGACCTTCTGATTAGAGTATCTACCTTTTGCTTTAATCATCTGATAGTGAAAGTGACTTCAGTAGGCTTGGTCATCTTACAAAATTTCAAAGATAAGTAAATTAGGCAACCCCATTGGAGAAGAAAAGATTCTAAATTTGGAGAGGGTGTGTTTAATTGTCCATTTGATAGTTCTCCGGTAGTCTCAATAGATGTTTTTCAAGCACTATCTATACTCTACAGCCCCCCAAAATATCTACATACTATCTGGGTTTTTCATTCATGAAACTCCTTAAACTAGAATGGGTATGATGATTGGATGCTGGCTTAAGACTGAGACAGCCAAATGTAAGTTCTACTCAGCTGCTGATTGACCTTAGACTAATAGCTATTTTTTAGCTTAACCTAATAAAGCGTAAAATAGGGATGAGATGGGAAGAATGAAGAATGGAACCTTAATAGGAGACTACTAGCACTATTACTACTAATGACAAGATCAATTCAGAGGCTTATCTAAATCAGTCTTCCACAATGTCCAACTAGGAATTGGTGGAAAGTCTACAAGAAGGGCATTCAAGTCCATCAATTGATCTTGGTCTTAATGAATGGCTATAAAAAGCCTTATTCTCCATTAATTTCTCTAAGCTCCTTTGAAAGCTATCTAAGATGGAAGTGAGGTTGTCCAAGGCATGCTTGCCAGTGGAGCTTGTAGATGTAACCTCAGGCACCATGATCCAGCTTTAAGTCACGTGTCCTTAGTCTAATTATTGGGTAGACAAAGTCCTTTGTGTTGCAAGCATCAGAATCTATCTTGGTAGAATCCCAAAGTCACGTATCCTTCTTCAGGACTCTGAATGTGAAGACTTTTTAGCATTCCCTAACAAGGAGGGACAAGTGCACGATATAATTAAAAAAACATTTTTCCTGAAGTTTTCAAGGGTATGTGCCACTACAATTTTTCATATTTAAGTTAAAAGACAAAGTAAGTATTTTGATGTAAACACAATGCAAATTGAGCTTCTCGCGTTTTTTTTTTCTACAGAGTTTTCATTATCCTGTTCCAGCTTAAATAGCAAGGGGAAAAAAAATTCGGATGAAAATATTTATTCAGTCTTGTTAAACAGACCTTCCATTCTCTCAGAATTAGTCTGTTTCTCTCTCCTTCTTCTTCTTCTTTTAAAAGATCTTGATTTAGTGCTCATGGATAGATCATGCATCAAGAAGTTCCACAAGCCAGTTTCTGGATTTACTTCTCATGGATATCCTAGAATGATTCCAAGTTGTAAAAATGTCAAGAAACAAATAGAATGCTCGAAACTTTATATAGATGTGGTTTGCTAGTCTCCGGAAATGAGGTGGCTTTTAAAAGAATGTTGATGGATCAACCAAAGCTCATATTTGCCTCGTGGCTTACTCTGTGTAGGTACCACATGATGCCCTGTAGGCAGCCATTTGCAAATGAGAGGTAAGGAACCAGCTATCAACTGCTGACAGGCAACCCCAGGGAGTGAGATAACTGGTTGAATCACAGTCATTAAGCTGGGTAATTAATTGCAAGCATTTAATGTGAAAAAGATTCCCACTTACCCCCCATAACCCCTGTCCCAGTTGCTTGAAATGGAATCATTGTGGAGGTAACAACTTTTTTTCTGGGAACATCTGATTTCTGAACATGAGAATGGGCCACCGTGCCCTAATGTTTGCTCAGAAAAATGGGTCCCTGGTTCATGTGGTGGGTTGTGAGAATGGCCTTGGGAGACAGGAGAAGAGCTGCAGTCAGGCCAATGGTCAAAGAAATATCTCAGCCCACAGAAGGAAAGGGAGTGGGGAAAGTGATTCAAAAGGGACCCTCTCTAATTCTCTGGAAAATAAAGGCAAGGGAGGGGAGAAATATTTTTGGACTTGCAAGATTCTGTTACAATGAAGGCAGTGTTAGAATTCATGGTTTTGGTTTCTTGTCTGGATTACAAGGAAGGAAGGAAGGGAGGGAGGGAGGGAGGGAGGGAAGGAGGAAGGAAAGAAGGAAGGAAAGAAAGAAGGAAGGGAGGGAGGGAGGGAGGAAAGGAGGAACTTTTTCTTTGCAATTGCCATATATTATTATATATTTAATTGAGGAAAATGATGAGATTTGTAAATCATAGCAATATCTCTTGGCAGCTGACCTGGATTAATTGAGCTGCCAAAAATGATAATTCCAAGCTGTCCAGAATCACTCAGTTCACTTGGGCATATATAGAAATTAAATAAATCCAGAAATAAAGAAACAATTGCTCCCCTTGAGCGGATTGCATTGCATCACAAAGCGAATTCCTTGAACATTGTGGTCCTGATGTTTGCATTCCAATATCCTCCAAAAAAAAAAAAAAGTTCTTCTAGGTTCTGTCTTCCAGCACTAAGACTGGATTTTCTGGATCCTTATTTGCAGAGTAGCTGTCGTCATTCCAACTTTAGCAGTTGCAGCTCTAAAAAAATGTGGATCTCAAAATCACATCAAGGATTTCCAGCCCGAAGACAATAAACAGACAAAACGTTTCTTGATTGGCAAAGAAGGAATTCTCCATTCTCTATTAATGTCTCATTTCCTGGGCTAGAATTATCCAGAACCATATAAAACAGCCGTCCTTAGCCCTGAGTTCTCCATACGACCAATTTGACTTGATCTTCATTTGTCTTCTGTTTGTGACTGAGGTAAGTTGTAGCCTTTAGGTCTTCAGATTGGAATTTGGAAGCAATGGAGTTGATAAGATTGCTTATTAAAAGATGTGGGTGATTCAAATAATTAACTGTAATAATTTGACCAGAGAAGCTCCATGTTGCTTCTGATCTACTAGTGAACCTACCAAGATACAGTATTATTAGATCATTCATCAAGCAACAAGCTCTGGAATTGATCTAATACGATCATTGTCTTTAAAGTCGTCTAGTGGAATATTAACAGATCCGAGTTGGACACTCGGAAAAAATGGTAAGCCACAGAGATCAAATCTGCTTCCTCTCGTGAAGGATAGTCCTGTTTCAGCTATTAAAAAAGGAATGGTGTTCACATGTCTTGCATCCCACAATATCTTCACTGCCAGAAATTATGGTTATATATTTGCAAGGATATTCTGATGCAAACCTATTGCCTTGTGTTGATTTGTTCTGACAAAAGTTAGAAAATGTTTTGATTATTCTCAGTAGCTTTTTTATGTGGATTTGTGTCCCGTGGAGGAAAGACTATCTCAATTGAAGATTAATCCTACCATATTGATTTTGATGGGTTCCTTTACTAATGAGCTGTTTCCAATGAAGATGCTTGTTCTCTATTCTTGTGTATTTGTGTATGTGGGTCTATAAGCATGAGAGAGAACTTCATCCTTCTGTCTGCCTTTCAGAAAGAATTAAAATGCATTGCAACTGTTGTAACTGTTGCCAGCCATGTTGTGGAACCAGCACCAACAAGGTTATGTGTGCTCCTGGACAATCTTACTACGTGTCTCCCTCGTGCTGTACAAATGGTGGGGGCTGTTGTGGAAGCTGTTGTAGCAGCTGCTGTTTGCCCTCCCAAATGGTCTGTGCCAACCCCTGTTGCCCTCCGCAGATGAAATGCCCTCCACCAATGAAGTGCCCTCCCCCAATGAAATGCCCTCCGCCAATGAAGTGCCCTCCGCCAATGAAGTGCCCTCCGCCAATGAAGTGCCCTCCGCCAATGAAATGCCCCCCACCTCTGCAGTGCACACAGACTTGCTGTCCTCCGAAGAAATGTTGCTAGAAAGGCTGGAGAACCGAAGCTCCACTTTTGGAGGTCCTGTTGGGTCCATCTTGCTGAGATGCTCAAAGCTAAGCCTGATCCACCATCTTCTTCTTGTTTCTGGTGCAGAGATCCTGCTTGCCTAAAATCCGATTGCCCGCTTACGAAGGTGGTGTGGCTTTCTCACAGGGGAAGGATCACCATTCTTGGGATGTAGAAAGATACTCAATGTCTTGTTCTTCAACTGCTTGGGCTCTGTAGCCTACTTTTAAAAATATACTTCCCCTGAAGGGAATAATAAAGCTTGGAAGCATGAATGCTCTGTGCTTGTGTTGATTTGGTGGTTGTGGGAAATAAAAGAAATTAGAGAACATCTGGTGGAGAAAGGCAACATCCAACATTTCATGCATCAAGGCATAGCTGGGCTCCATGTTTAGAGGGTCCTTCAACAAGACATCCCTCTAAGCAGTTTACAGAGTCAGCCTAATGGCCCCCAACAATCTGGGTCCTCATTTTACTGACCTCGGAAGGATGGCAAGCTCAACATTCCTTGCCTCTCTGCTCTAGTGGGTCGGGCAGAGATGGGAGGCAAGGAATATATGAAGCTCTGTCAAATGTATGTCTTTTTCATACGTTCAGAATAATAGAATAACATAGTTGGAAGGGACCTTGGAGGTCTTCTAGTCTAACCCTCTGCTCAGGCAGGAAGCCCTAGACCAGACATATCAAACTGCCGGCCCACAGGCCAGATGCATCACGCCGAAACCGTGCCCACAGACAAACGGTTGTCCAATCTCTTTTTAAAAACCTCCAGTATTGGATCATCTAAAACTTTTGGAGGCAATTCCTTCCCCTTTACACATGATTTGTGCTTCCCTGTCATAAGCTACAGATTGTTCGGCTCGATTATGTCATTTTATTGGCAACCAACTTTGGGAAGGAGTCTCTGGTGATCCTTTTCCTGATCTTCTTCTAGTTTCTTGGCCTCTCGAGTTAGTCCAAAGGCTCAGAGGTAAGAAATCAGCCATTTAAGTCTTTACACCGTT